TATAAGCTGCCAAAACCATGTATACGAGATCCGATCTAATATTAACGATTTTGACTCGTGCCAAAAATGGATAGTCAGTTTGTAAAGAGTTTGCAGAATAAACAAAAACGAGTTAGGTTGGATAAAAATCCCAAAAGTAAAGGTCAACGTCTTGTCTGCAAGTAAGTTAAATATGTTTGTTAATATTGCAGTGTCGTCCTTGTCGAGGCAGCTAGGCAGCGATCGCTGCCTAGGGCTCCTAACCTTTTTTTAACCAAAATACATTAAGCCTCAATAAATAATTTGACAATATAAAATCACTAATTTTACATATATTTTCTGTATCCACGCCACTCTAAGTTTATCTTCAAACTAAGTCACTTAACTATATCATGCAAGCTTGGTCAATGATTACAACGCTAAAAAATCAAATTTTAAGTAAACTCAACATTAAAGAAATTGTCCAGAGTAGACAGGAATATTTATCAAAGATAATATTTAAAAATAATTTTAAATTAAACAAAGATTTGAATTAACTTACAATAAATTAAGTATGAAATTATGTTCTTACTTGAAATTGCATGCATATAATTTGATAACTGCATGAGGTAGGTTGGGCCCCTAAAAAAAAATACTGCCTGGGCCCTTTAGTAGCCAGGCCAACATTGTTAATATAACATCTATAACATAGTAATTAATATCATATTAGTATATTAATTATATACAATGTATATAACATCTTAAGCATTGTTACCGGTACCTACAAGAAATAGTTAAGATAATAATATTATATTATATTAGGCTATAATAGTTTATTATATAATTATATAATTTAAAAAAGTGTAACTGAATATTGAAAAAATAACCGTTATATTGTTTTATTTTATTTAATCTAAAAACTACAAAATATAAAACCTTGTACCTACTTGCATTGTTAAAGATATTTGTTACTGATAGCAAATATATGATCTTTATTTAAATTTCAATATAAATTTCTTTTTCACATAATTTAATTTTAATTTTAATTTGTTGCAGATATTCCAGGCAAAGACTTTGTTGGGTCTGTTTATAAAATGGTCAATACTGGCTCCTTTTCTGCAATTAACAAAAAAAAAAAAAAGGTGATAAACTGATTACATTGATAAAATCATGACATTATTTTAACTATAATAATATATTATATTTTGTTATACATGAGCAATATCAGCCTGGGATCTATAGGGCTTAGGAGGAAAATTTTTCTAAGGCCCTTTCAAAAATACTTGTTTTACCAGTTTTTTTTTTTTGCCACCTTTAGTTTAGGAAGGAAAGCTATATAATTAAATTCAAACAATAATAATTACAAACTTTGAATCCCAATGGCTTATGCTGCCGCTGGTTTTTATTTAATAAATTAAAAATATAGAAAAATAATTACAATATGTATATTTAAGTGTAATAAATAATAGTACTTAATATATTAAATTATATCTTTGCTTTTAATCATAATTATTTCTATTGTATCATAACTATTTGTAAATTGTTGTAAATCATTTTATATTAACTTTTGTGAAAATACCAAAATATAAAATATAATACTGTACCTAACACTAAGTATCGATGATCATTGACATGGAAACTTTTGAATAACAAACAAATAATAATTAATAATATTAGGTATAATTTTTATTTTACATATTATACAATTTGTCATATACATACAAAATGTATGTATAAAAAGGTGGGCAAGTAGGTGTCTATCTGCTGTACATTAGGTTACATGTAGGTCACTATAATAGATGGTGTTGAATTTAAATTCAATGATATAGTATCATTATATAAGAAAAACGATTCTGTGTGAAGATCAGTCAGCCTATGATATTACTAAGTATATTTGATGATATTATTGTGAATAAAGTAATTTATATAATATGTATAACCTATTTACGTGGAACCTTGTTTCACATTTTCAATCCTTGGCTCTAAAATTTGAAGATTTTATACATTTTTAACTACAAAATAATTATTAAACTTTAAATCCTTATAAAAAAAATTGCTCCCATGTATTTTTAATGTTTTTAAAATGCTATTGGAACGATATATCAGGATCGTTCAATGGCGTAGCTAGACACTTTTTTCTGGGTGGGCCCGATATTTTTATGTACGGATCACATACCAATTAATATTTTTATTAAATAAAAAAGTAACAGAATACCGTATATTATAAATTTATTTATTATTTTCATTATAGCATATTACATGCATTTATTTTAAATTTTAAAACTAATAGTATAAAATAAAATAGATATAGCTTTACTACTAAAATATTCTTAAATTGAAAATTCTAATTTTCTTTTTTTCATTGATACAAACTCGTCTACCACAGCAGATGGGTTATCCATGAATTTTCCACTAATTTATTTCTCAATAGCAAAGTTAAATAATTTAGTCTGCAACTTGTCATTGTTGATATTAGATACATTTTTACTTTTTTCATTGTTGATATTAGATACTACTTTTTTCATTGTTGAAAAACTCATCTCTGCTGAAGCACTAGATACTGGAACTACTAAAATATTTTCAATGATTATTGTTAATTCTTCAAATTCAACTTTGTATTTTTTTAATTCTTGGTATGATTCAAAAAGGTCAGATACAGATAAAAATGAGGTTTTACCCAGTTGACATTGGTGTTTTAATTTGGCAATGAATTCATTTGATCCATAAGATGGAAATGTTTCAGCATAACGACAAATTATTTCAGTATCTCCAAGCCTTGTATTACATTTTCATGCTTTTTTACCAAACAAATTTGTAGAAAAAAAAAAATTAAAATAATTGAAAACTGACAATGGCTATAACAGCTTAAAAAGAGTCAAAATATTTTCAAAATATTATGGTGTATAGAAAATGAAAACATAAACATTGAGTAAAATTTTCATGTATCTACAGTTGTTCGTTTTCATAAAAATGTAATTTAATTTGCTTGTAGACATTTTTTTTTTTGATAAAAGTAGACAAACTTATAAATAACCTTGTATTACAATCTTAGATTTAAAAAGAAACATTTTTATGAATACTCAACTCAAAATAATTTGCTAATTATTTAAACTTTAAGTTATTTGAACTTTAAATGCTTTTAAAAAAAAACTGTGGCCAAGGATTTTTTATAATTTTCAAATATCACTGAAACTATATAGTAGGAGCCTTGTATTAAATTTCCAAGCTTTTGTGTCATACAAACAAAGTTTTATTGACATCCATAGAAAATAAGACTAATAAAATTGGAATCTGATAGTGTTGGACGAGTATTGTTTTTTATTTTCAAGTCGAGTCGAGTGGAGTTTCAATTATTTCAAGTCGAGTCGAGTTAAAAATTCGAGTACTCGACAAATGCCAAGTGTTAAAAAAAAGTATTCAACAAAAGTCGAGTATTAAAAAAATGCGAGTACTCGACAAAGGGTCGAGTACTGGGAATGCTCGAGTATTTTAAATTGTACTAAAAATAGATTTTCCAAACATTTTATATTTTCTTTCATACAGTTATATAATTAATTTAATCTTATCATAATATAATTAAAAGAATTGTCTTTATTAATTAATAATTGTTATTATAAAATATAAACTATAAAGGCATAAACAAATAATTAATAACTATAAAGTATAAAGTAAAAAGGTTAGGTACAAATAGGTATTTAAAAATTAAAGTATTGATTGTTGAATATTTATTAGTTATTACCTACCTATTTACAATATTTTATATTTATTATTTAATAACATAATAACACTAAAATTATTTTAATAATAAAAAATTAAATACTAAATAGTAGATACTAGATAGGTATTAATATTAATATAATATACATATTATATAATATATAGTATATACTGATATATTATTATCTATTAATATAACACTAATTACTATGTATTACTACGTATATAAGATATATTATTATTTAGTACCCAATGAAAAAAAAAAAATTATAATACTTAAGTCAAGGACTTTTAACCATTGATTATTAATATTATTGTTTAATATTTATTATCATATTATAGTAATAAATAATAATAATATAGTATTCATAATCAATGCTATAACAGAATACAAAAATAAAATCATAAAATAGGTAAGTAACAAAATATTAAATAATAATTGGTTATAAAACTTATAATACTATACAATACTAAATACTAATAGGTAAATAGTCTAAAATAGTAAAATCGAAATTCATATAAACAAATCAAAAAACATATTAAAAATATTAAATAAGTATAGGCACTGGTAAACTATTAAGTATTAACGTTAGTTGTTAAATTAATGTTGATCAAATAAGTTAAAACTAACAAACATTTAAACAATTTTCAGGAATAGTATTTATGTTAATTGGTTTTAAGAGTTACATAAATCATTTGTGGCCTTGTATAACGGTTTTAGTACACACAACAAACCTTCAATTGTTGAATATTGATCCCTTGTTAAATTATCAATTGTGCTATTAGACTCAATCAAATCAGCTGAAATAAATCTTTTCAATTCATAAATCCGTTGAAGCATTAAATACTCAGAGTTCCAACGAGTCTTAACATCTTGGATGAGTATCAATGGCGGAGATATATTTTCTTTTTTTTGAAGTTCAAAAATCCTTTCCTTGAACTCCGCTCGTAATGTACAATGGACCTACAAGCTACTAAAAGTGTATCTAAGTTAGATGTACTTTTTTTGGCATCGACTATTGCAAGTTGCAATTAGTGCACTACACATCTTAAATGTTGCCAGGTATATCCATCAGGCACTTTTCTTAATGCTGCTTCAAGGTTAGGTACATTGTCAGTTTTAAAATACATAGGTATATCTTTACAAAATGACCATTTTTCAATTAATCTTACTATAAGATTATTTAGGTTGGCAGTATGTTGATCTTTGGAATGTTCTAGATTTAGTGAATGTGACAAAGTTTCCGTTCTTCAGTGACATAATGGACTGTTAAAGATATGTAACTTTCATTTGAACGAGAAGTCCATCCATCTGTTGTGAATGATCAGGAACTAGCACTTTTACATTCATTATCAATTATACTTTTAACATGATTAACCGATTTTTCAAAAGCGTTCGGTATATGATACTGAGAAAAAGATTTCCTCGATGGAACAATATACCTTGGTTCAGCTTTTTTCATAAGTTCCAAAAATGCAGGCTCCTGGACAATAGAATAGGCATAGCAACCTTGAATGATGAACCTTGATACAGTATCATTAAGTGCCTTTACATTTGGATTTGTTTTCACCCATGCTTTTGTTAGGTTTATAACTTGTACCATTGTGGGTTAAGCATTTTAATTTTTTTGAAAGCATTTTCAGTTTTTGTTATGTTATTCATATCATTAAATGTATCAAATACATTTTTATGCATTTTTAAATGATTTAGCATAGATTTTGTTTGACTATATTAACTTATTATTTGCACACCACACTCTAAACATTTACATCTTTCAACACCAGATTCATCTTTGTGGCCCAATGTAAAAAACTTCCAAGTAACTCTTTTTTGACGTTTATTTACAATATTAATCATGGTTGAATTTTCTGTTGACTGACCACATACTGTATACATATTACTAGTCGATGTTGATGCAACTGATGTATCCAATTCCTCATCAAACACATCGAAAGACACACATTGATTGGACATGGTGAACTAAAAGTATTAAATAACAAATATTCAGTTTATCTCAATCATAAAAATTGGCATGTTACTCAAATTGAAATTATTTAGAATATTACTGATAGAACTATTAGTTTTTATGAATTGATTTAATTTGATTCATTTTTTGTTATCTTAATATCTACACATTAGTTATTACTTATTAGATGTGCTTCAGTTTTGATACATATTCTTAGGAATATTATTTATTTTTAATAATCAAAAAGTAGTATAATATTTAATTTACGTCTAGAATACTTGTAAGACTACTTAAAATACTCATTACTCATTAGTTTAACTGTTAATTGTTTAATGTTTATTATTTATTAAGGTCTATAATATAATATGTATATTAATTATTAATATTTAATACGCAATCAAATAGTATTTAGTATTTAGTATTACTACCTATTTAATTGCCTTATATTTTAATTTTTAATTGATCTCAACAAATTCATAATACATTTAAACTATTTATTGTCTAATATTTTTTTCAGTTCTGCAATATAGTGTAATATTATAATGATATGCAATAAAATAATAAAAATAGCAAGGCTGGGCAAGTTAACAATTTTTTTTTACTCAGTTAAGTGTTAATATTCATTATTCACCAATAACCAAAATTTAATTTAACTATAGGTTAACTCAGCTAATTAAAAGTAAATACTAAATGCATATTTGTTAACTTTATTTGTTTTTATTAAGTTAAAAAACTTAAATTGCTTATACAACGTTAGCGTAGGTACTTAATTTTTTACCAACTCAAACTAAATTATAGACTATAGTTTTTATACTTTATGCAGTATATCCATATAGTTAGATTCAATTATTCAAATGATATACATTTTTAACTTTAATACAATCCATTATCCATTGACCCACTTGTAACCTACTGTACTTACCATCCACTTACCCACTTTTTTTTATCAACCCGTGAGTGTCAAAATGAGTTAAAGATTACACTAACGTTCAATATAGGAACATAATTTACTTATCTCATATTTTGCATTTTTGCATGTGAAAGTTATGATGCATAATTTAGTCTTTTAATTCTATAGGTTCTTGAAGCACTATACAACATGTATTTAAATAAAAGATATCTAATATATTTTGTAAATTGCTATTCAATTATAGGAATAGATTTTAATTTTAAGGCACCCGGTGGTAATGTGATTTTGTTCTCAAAAACACATTTTACGAGAATAATGATCCTGTCCTGTAAAATCAATAAAATATGATTATTTTTTTTTAATTTATATTATACATCGCACATTGAACTTTGGTTTTCAATATTTTAATTTATAACTTAGTAATAATTCTTAAAAAATAAAAAAAATGTATAGCTTTTTTTACACATTTTTTTATACCATTATTTAAAATCAAATAAAAAATCTGAATTTAATTAGGGCTGTAGAATGTTGTTGCTTATCAATTAAAAAATAAATTATCTGAAAATATTCAGTTGTCCTGTGAAGTAATTATTGTCCGCTGAAAACACTTTTTCGATTTTGGTAATTAATTTTATAATAATCTAATTTTTACACAGTGTCAAAAGTCTTGGTAAATGTTTGTGTGCAACAAAATACTAGGGCATATGACTTAAAAACTTGAAAAAAAATTTATAATTTTTATTTTCTATTTTTACTTTAAACTTATCAAGTTATTATTTTTTTTTTGTTAATAATAATAAATATGGTCTAAAATGTTGAATAATTGTACTTAACTACTCCTTTATAGTCACATAAATACATAATCTTCATTATTCACGTGGCTTGGTTTCACTACATTTATTTAGTCAATAGTCATGGCATTGGTACGACACTCCGTGAATGGGCCGGATCGGGCAATTGTGGCCCTGAACACAGTTTCCAGGGGGGAGCGGCATACATGAAATAGGAAATATTAAACAAGCCGACCCCGCGTAGCGTATCCCACAAATGTTCAGAGAAACGGTTTTTCAAAACGAGTATAACATCATTTTGGTGCACGGAAAGAGTTTCATCGTTCATACTTCAGATCATAGGTAGACACTTCACCCATCAGCTGATCGAGTGTCGCTTCTTTATTCTTCTATGGTCATGGTCAAAGGCTTTGAAATACAGCCTACGTCGGACCACACAAATTCTTTTTAATCTTACAAGGTTGGCAACACCCTTGTTGTCGTATAAACATAATATCTAACCACCAAAAACCAACCAACAACTACCATTCTCCGAATTCCCCAGTCCCCTTCACTTCAGTCTTCAACAATCGTTGTGAAAAAGTGTACACTTACAAAACAAACAACCTAATCTATTGAGTACATTACTACATTCAGAACGGCGCGGGTGCCGCTCGGTTCTAGTTTACTGTAATATAGGTCTGGTGCCCCGGATTTTAGTCTGCGGAACGTTTATCACGGACGAACGCAGTCGGCGCCAAACATTAGGGCCTTGTGTCGATACCAGCTATTTAGATAGCCTTGGACAACGATCATTGGAACAGTTGCGCACATGCGTGACCCGTCTGATTGGGCATTTGAAGATCAAGATGACGACCCACGATCTGAAACAACAAAGTGACACCAACGCCAAAATCGTCGTCGTCCTGCCTACTCGTCCACCAACTCTGCTGGTACTATGACCACTGGTTCCTCGAATACCGCCACTACCACAATCCTGGACTTGCCGACAGAATTGATTGAGTATATTTGCTGCTGTCAATGTAATTGATTGATGCCTTGAACCTCGCTGTTTCGCATTCCAAACGCAAAAACTGTTTGTTCCACGAACAAAACTCTCACCGAATCCAAATTCATACAAAAGTAGGTACCTATACTTGTGTGTTGTACTTTTTTTTACTTGCTTATAACGGATATTTTATTTGTGTTAGATACGGTTTGTTGGACAATGAGTTGTTATTGACGAACAAAACACTTGGAAAGACGAGATCAAGTTGCGTATGAGTGAAGATAAAGCTGTACCTGCTGAAATTATACAAATGCCATACATGTACTTGAAATTTAGACATATACCATATCATTCATAATCGTTTAGTCATTATTTGCACTCAAAAAATGAAGGCCAACGTTGGTGGTGTCGTACGGTTAACTTACCATATTGCGATATAAGTAAGTCTACCCTAAAACAAGTTATGTAATTTTGATTCATTTGTTATGAATGGTGATAATTGTGTTACTAATGTTTTTCACAGACAAAAGTTGAAATAATATAGCTATTGATGTGTGTAATCGTAATTAATGTTCAAGTGTATTGCACATTTGTTCAGTAAACCCAGTAAATCCTCTGTGACTGTTCGCTGATCGTGGTGTCATGCGGAAGGTTAGTCCGGTCTCAAGAAAATTGCCAGAACAGTATATTGGAAATTCTATACTTGACGTAAGTACTCATAAGTTATAAAAATATATTATAACTAGTATAAATTGAATACTGGTAGGAACTTGTATACCTAACTCATATGTCATAAGAACAAAAATTATGTTTTTTTCATTTAGTTAAATTACATTTTTTTTTTTATTATTGAACAAAATTTTTTATATTTACAATCTGTATTTACATGTTATACAATAGTTAAATTTGATGATATTTGATTGACGTGAGGGGGAAGTCAACCAGTGGTGTCGCCTCGTGGAAAGCGATCAACACACACCTATAATAGTTTTCTATATAGTTATTTCTAATAATTAAGAAATGATAATTAAGTACTATAAAATATGGTGAACAGAAACAAATGCAAATGTAAAAGTTGTTACTTTGATGTCCACCATATGTGTTATCAATATATTTTCATCATATTATGAATTGTCAACATATTGGTTTTCAACAACTGGTTTTTATTAACATTTTTATTCAAATACTATAGAAAAAAATAAAATATGTGGTCTTACAGAATCATAACTATGTGAAATTATGAATTAAGAAAAATTAGATTTCAATACATTATTCAGGAATATTTATTTTTGGAGACAATCCTGGAATATAAATAGCTAATAGGGCATAGACGATAGGCCTCTTAAACTTATCCTTTCTATTATGTTACAAACTATTTAAACAATTTTAATGATAATCGTATACAGATTAATATAATTTATAGGACTTATAACTTTACCATTATAACGTTAAGTTACGTTGCAGGTAGCAAGACCGTGATGTTTATGTAGATAAAGGTATATGTTTAAATAAGCGTAGATACTAGACAGGTGTAAGTTAATTTAATTTATCAAGATGTTCTTCAGTAATTTGTACTAAGTCCAAATTGACAATATTACTACATAAAGTAACGTGAAGGTGCTTGCAGCTAGGAAGAGCGTACACGTCTGAATACAGGCCGTTTAGGGGTCCCTCGTATAGTCCGGTCCCCTCGCCCCTTGTCTAATTTGATACTGTATCTCGGTTTTCATGGATGTGGCCTATTTGGCCATTAACCTAGCCCACGCACTTGAGAAATTCACAGTCTATTCTGAGTATTACCATAGTGTACTTATACCTAATCTATTAATTGCCAATTTTATTATAATAAACCATTCTACTTTTTTATATTGAATATTCTGTACTAAAATACATAGAAGTGGCACTGCGCCAACAAGCTTATCGCATTAACAATGATAATTATTATTAAATCCAATAGCAACCATTTATAAACAAAAATGTCCATCGTAAATCTCAAAATCCCTGTTTGAGCACCTCCCCGGGTTGGACCTCCAATTTACCCTTTTTTAAGTAGCCTACTCAAAGGTCTAATCTATCTCCGTACCAAATTTTATCTCAATCAGATGAACGGTTTAGAAATACATAAAAGGACACCCACACAGACAGACAGACAAACATAGGCATAGCTCTTGAACAAGCTTTTTAACACATGTCTATGCAATATACACAAATACATTTATAACTGTATATTTTTTAGATAACTACTTACTTATGTTTATTCAATATTCACAAAATAACTACTATTGAAATTATTCAAATCTGGTGTTAAAATATTTATTT